TCAGCACAATGACGCTGCAAGTTATGGGTTATTCTCCTACCTTTACCTTTACCTTATATTTTGTATGATGGCATAAAATATAGGGAATTAAGATAATTTATCGGAGAAATGATTAATTTATCGGAAAAATTATAAGTGCTGCAGAAACATGGCCTAATGGAGGAAATTCATCTGGTTATCTCATATTTATGTTTTAATTTCTTTTTTTGTTTAGCCTATTTCAATCTAATGACTAAAAAGACCTGCTTTTCTTGTCAAAAAAGTTATGTTTTGCTCTTCACTTTAGACCTACACAATATCAGTTTATGTATTGCGGCCAACTGACCTATACCATTTTAATATTTATAAATAATAATAATCAAATTAATAATACACGATTTGTATAGGGCTCGCTCATATTCAATTTTAAAGAACAACAATCTAGATAGGGCCTACCCTATTTACGGATCATTGAAATCGGTAAACCTGGCCACGGCTAAAAGTAATGGTTTTGGCTGTTCAATATTGGGCTGCCAACACTGATTTTGATAAAGCAGGCAGGAATAAAGCAAGACGACAAGACCAATGAATTAATGAGTCAAAGGATTGCCCTTTACCTTTTAAACAATAATTTTCTGATTGTGATAATTTGGTGTACTGTCAATTTGGGAACGAAAATGATGCAGCCCACTTGACATATACTATTTTAATATTTATTACTATAAATAATAATAGAAGTAATTTTTAGCAAAGAACCCTTTAGTATGAAAATATAAAGATGGCTCGTACATTTGTTTCTAGTAGTCATAGTTTTGGTAAAACGACAATGTTTTATTCTGTTATGATCTCGAATATCACTTGTTTCTCTTTACAAAATTCAAGGAAAAATACTAGGATATTTTGTTTTATTATAGGGTTTTTTCCCAGACAAATTGAATAACATGAACAACATAGATGTGATCGAAAATAATATAAAAGAGTAACTAATCTTCATACATTTTGATATTTAGAGGCATATATGAATAGGCTTATCTAACAGACATATTTAATTAATTTTTTCTGGTCATATATAATTTATTTCGCCAAAATAACAGGAGCAACTTAATGGTGTATATGGCAGGATTGCCTAATTGAAGAATACTTGCAATCGAGGGGTACTCTGTTTATTGACAAGGATTAAAGAACTGCTTAAAAACAGTAAATTATTACAGTATATATAATATGAAATTAGATATAAAGTAGTGAAATCATAAAAAAAATCTATAAATATAGAGTTAAATGAATAAAAAAATTAAATTAAACTACAGGAGGCCGCTAATTGTATTATACGATATTATACACAGGAACGTGCATTGCTTTGGACACAGAACGCGCATCACGTTGGACACAGAATGGCTTCTAAATTCTCAATGTCGCAACTCTTTCTATATGGCTCTGGTGTATTGCGATGATGTGCGCCTTCCGCCTTGTTCTTCTGTCCCCCGCCTCCTATGTGTTGCTTTAAAAGTTCATCATATATAATTACTTCATAAGCTCCCTCATTGTGTTCGTTTTTTCTTATGTGATTCTTTTATTTTTGCTCCTGCCATGGTGGCTCTTTCCCCAAAATATTAACTTTCCAGTTAAGTATGTGGTCATACTGTGTCATTATGATCTGTTTATTTAGTTCCGAATCAACATTTTTTTTCTCGCTTTTTACAGTTCTTATCAGGTTCTGCAAAAAGTAGAGCATGGGCAAATGAAAGGAACTCAACTCGACTTGGCCCATTTCGACAAATATGCATGACTGTCAGTTCCTTTCAGTTGTGTTCTGTTGCAGAGAACGTTCATTTCGACCAGTTCAGTTGAGTTCCGTGTTCACCTGAGCCTGCCTTAGTTTACAAGCATAAATTTGTCACTGGTAATGGATATAATTAAGCCTACAGTATATTTGTAAATGATTAAGCCTCTTTCTGTCCCATGTAGAATATACAATGTGCGTGAAGCCCATATCGTGAAATGGTTTTAAAATAACTTTATTAAAACATGTTTTTTTCTACAGGAGTAGTTAATTGATTATCTTCAAATATTTATATTCAATTATTAATATAAAATTTGGCTAATTCTCAAAGTAGTCATAATAGTGGAAACGATTTGGCACAGCTGGAACGATTTGGTTTCCCGATCTGAACGTCGTGTTTCAATCCTTCGCTGTTCATTTTGCTTGTGTCCTTAAGCAAGGCACTTATTTGCATTGCTTCTCTCCACCGAGGATTACTTTATTGTTGCGCTGATTACCAGCAGCAACACTTATAAGCATGTGGACTCAATGACCAGGGAAAAACAAAGTGGTTTGTAACCTATAAGGAATATGCGCTATATAAAGATACGAAATAAACTAAACTAAAGTTATGAAAATGATATTTTAAATGACGCTAAAGATTTATATGGCGCCAATTCCAAATGAATGAACAAGGGAATTTAGCTGAGTCAATTGAAAAAAACATTTTTCATTTTTTTATGGATATTTTTGAAGTTATTTGATATTAAATGTTGAAAATGTATATTTAGCATTACAGATGGGACATTTAAAAATTCTAAATATTTTTTGAACAGTGAATCTGTTATCAGTATTTTGTGTATACACAGCTGAGTTTCATTGTATTCACTTTATTACAAAAACTATGTGTTTGGTTAACATTTGTTATTATTTATTTCATACACATTCAAAATTCATAATTGTACCATCCGTTCTGTTTTAGAAAGTTACATTTTTACATTCATTTAAAAAGTAATATAATGAACTTGATATTAAATTTTCTCCTACTAAAGACTGTAAGTTATATTATCAACTAATTTTTTGTTTAACCTGGATAAAATATATCTATAAAATATATTGTTACGGATAGGATGATTCAAAATTGCCGCAATAGTGAGTTTTTTGATACTGCATTAAAGTCAAAGCAAGTGTTAAGGGCTTAACCAGCGAGCCATCCAGCCATCTTTTGGACAGCCAACAATTATTTAGGATGGCCACTTTTACAATGATGGCTTGAATGGCTTGGCCTACTCAGCTCGACCTATCCTAGTTGTGACTGGCCTACCTTTAGCACATTCTTTCTTCTTCGAATCTACTGTATCAAATATCGCATTAAACTAAAGCGTATTTACGTTTGATAAACAACCTTTATTGATTAAATTTTCGTTGGGAATTCCTGAAAAAGGTAAGGCTAAACCATTGTCTACCCGGTGAACATGCGTATGTCGTGTTAAAAACATATTTAACAGATAAATTGTATTACTATGTTTGGAGGCTCCTCGATGCCAAGGCTGTGCCTTGTGAGGAGCCTCCGTGTGAATATGTTGAATAAAACACCCCTCTAGACCATCTAGAGCTTCTTGTCTCGATCGGCCCCACTTTCGGCCCCCGTATCTCCCCCTCCCCCCGCCTTTCGGATATCTCTGGGTACGCCCTTGTTTGCAACAGCTAGGTTGAAAATGTAAAAAGGGTAACATGAAAATGATGAGACAAAATGACAATGACAAAACATTATGTTAAAACCATCTTAATAATTGTTTGTAATTTAACTTGTTAAATCCGGATGTGGAAAATTTTAAAATGTATATCGTTGTAAGTGAAAGAAATTCTGGTAAATGAAGAGTATTTTGTTTTTAATCTTTAAATTATTTTGTTTCCCTTGTCTACCTTGTCAAGCTCTTATACTAGTAATCATCATGGCTCCAAAGCGCACATTGTCAGTAGACATGTTGATCCGAAAAATGCCGTACGGTCCACGTGCCACTATATGCAGAATGATGGACATATCTAACTGGAAAGAACTAGCAGGAGCTATAACCGATCCAAAGACTAATGATTGCAGATATTCAGTAGATGCAATAGCGTAAGTAGGCCTATGTACACATTAAATTCCAATTTATATTTGCTATATAATGATTTTAATTTTCTTCCACATTTTTAATGAAGTGCCTGATGTCCTGTGAGCTTGCACATCACAAACCGTGTGGTGTGTATTATGCAAAAGACCAGTATGAGAAAGTAAAATTTTCAGCCATTTATAATAACCCATATATTTACTACTTACCTATTGAAAATATATTGCTCACAAATGCTAATGCTTGATTATTTTAAGACTACCTTGGTTTAACACAAGAGAATATTATTTTATGCCATAATGCTTTTCTTAATATACTTCTGAGCATGTGCAGACCTTGCCTAATTTTGGAAAATGTTCACACACACCCGGGAGATACAGTAGGGTATACTTTAAACGATTTCAGAAAATCAAGGTTCCATTGTACAGTATATATATATATTACATGTTTCATCTTTGGAACACAACAAAGAAATATTAAAGAAACTACAGTATTAAGGGGTAGACAGGATGATAAAAAAAAAAAGTTGATTTAAATCAACTAGGCCTATCTAGTGATTCTCCAACTCATAAAAGCCAACATTTAAAAGTAGATATACAAACTAAAGATGATACAGTATGTTCAATAGAACATGAACCCAGTCAATTTTCAGGATTTGACCAGAAGGTGACCTTTGACCTCAAGCTGTGAACACCCCATGTTTGGTAGGAGTCTGTCTAATGCAATTGGTCCAATCGTTAGTCACTACTGTAGTAGTATTTGATAATTTTCACCGAAATGACCCCTTTTTTTTGGTGTTTTTTGAACCTAATGCCCCTTATGTGGCCTTTGACACCAAGTGAAGTGAACAACACATAAATGAGAGGTGGCACTGGTCCTACTCACTAAATTTTAATTAAATCGGTCCAGTAGTTTGCCACTAGTAGCCTTTTAAAATGTTGCCAGAAAGAAAGAACTAGAGATACAGTACTATGTTCAATAGAGCTAAATGGCGAACCAAGATGACGTCACTGAAATTTGGCGAGTTGGGTATGAAATGATAAACAAATCGAAACTCGCTATGTTATTGTGTATGAAGTGTGTTGAAAAGGGCAAGTAAACGAACGTTTTTAAACACATCTAAAACAGTAGGATGGCATTTTTTACAATGCCCTGTAACATTTTATATTGTATAGGCAGATTTGAACACATTTTAGTTAAATTTGTATTTAATTAAAACCATAAATTGGCGTATTTGTGTCACCTACCAGCCGAACCAAGTGCTAGGCCAACTTGTACACAAAATATCGGACGGTATTTCACTTCACAATTTCCCATCCGTCTCTTTTACTCCTTTAGGAGCTCATAGTGAGCAGAGTAAATTTTGGAATATCTACTAGTAGTTTAGGTTCCGTTTGAAATTACAAATACAGCAAGAATCATGGGTACACAGCAAAAACATTGAGAAGCGGCCATGATTGCTATGTATAAAAATAGGAAATTAGCGCCCTCAACGGTTTATTATAATTTTATATCCAATACGATTGTCGACGTCTGTTCGCCATTTCCCTGTATAGAACATGAACCCAGTCATTTTTTAAGAGATAACCACTGTGACCGTGAACCTCAACCTGTGAACACCCCATGTTTGGTAGTCTGTCTAATGCAATTGGTCCAATCGTTAGTCACTAGCAATATTTGATAATTTTCACTATAGTGACCCTTGTGATTTTTGACCTATAGGTGAAGAGTAGTTTTTCATGTTTAGAAGGTCCTAAGGATCATTCCTGGTAAATTCGAGCGCAATTGGGCTATTTTGAAAATTTGACCCCGATGACCCCTATATAACCACTGTAGGAGTATCACTGGTTCTTAATGATCAAATTTTATTGAATTCATGATGTCATCACTGTAACTCCCAATGTTATTAGCCTATTCCCCAGTATCCACTAATTTTTCTATTAGTGGACGCTTGGCTTGATTTTAGGTTCGTGTGCAAAAAAAAATTCCTCATTTTTTTGTCACCGCGAAGACATCGTGCACCGCGATAAAAATTAAACTGTAATTGAAAATTACTTTCGTAAAACAAGCTTCATTAGAACCCAAAGAAAGTTACTTCAAATTCAATATTAATTATGAATAATTTTAATTGTTCATGGATTCATTGAATTCCTGAAAAGGAATCCATGAACCCTTATAAACACAACAAACTGAACGTTTTATAGGAATATTCTAGACCTATTTTAAAGACTCAAGGAACAAATTTAGATGTAGGCCTATGGCCAATACAGTTGGTTATAAAAAACTAAAATTAAAAGACGGCAATTAGTAGAGCATGCATCGTACACTAAATGGAAAATTATTATACTTAGGTTAGATTTAATGCATTCAAAAATTTCCTTCGGGCCTTGCAGGCCCTCAGGAAATTTTTTCAAGCATTACCCTTCACATAATAATTTTTGTATAGTGTACTATGCGGAGTTCTACTAATTGCTTATTATGACCATCAGTTAAAACCAGTTGTAGCCTATAATGGAATGTTGTACAATTTTAGGATACTACACATGTCTCTTATGGGACATTCACCAGTTGACATTTTCCGTGCAAAAACGGCTGTGATTTACAGCAACAATCAGAATCACTTTATTTTGGTGACAGATTATATTTGTGCTTTGATTAAAGTGTACTACTACTACATTGACCCTGCCGACAGATCAAATTTTTAGCATAGTACAGTACTGTACTACTGTATGTTTAGACAAAGAATGCAGGTTGAGGTTTTATGTACAGGTCTACTACCATCACTTAACTTTACTTAGCTCAATTGGGCTATTTTAAAAATTTGACCCCGATGACCCCTATGTAACTACTGATGCCAGACAGGGGTATAGGAAGTGTCACTGGTTCTTAATGATCAAATTTGATTGAATTCGGTTCAGTTGTTTGCCATTAGTAACATTTTGAACCTTTGACCTATAAACTTTGACATATGGGGTGAAGAGTATTTTTTTCACGTTTAGAAGGTCCTAAGGATCATTCCTGGTAAGTTCGAGCTCAATAGGGCTATTTTGAAAATTTGACTCCGATGACCCCTATGTACAGTAACCACTGATGCCAGACAGGGGTGTAAGAGGTGTCACTGGTACTTAATGATCAAATTTTATTCAATTCCGTTCAATTGTTTGCCATTAGTAACATTTTTAACCTTTGACCTATAAACTTTGACATATGGGGTGAAGAGTATTTTTTTGTGTGTTTAGAAGGTCCTAAGGATCATTCTTGGTAAATTTGAGCTCAATTGAGCTATTTTGAAAATATAACCCCGATGACCCCTATGTGATCCCTTATCAAAGACTGGGGTGTAGGAGGTGTCGCCAGTTCTTAACGATGAAATTTGACTGAATTTGGTCCAATGGTTTGCCATTAGTATCATTTTGAAATGTTACTAGAGAGAACAAAAGATTAACCTTTTAATGACCTTTGACCGTAAATCTCTAAACACCATAAAGACCCTACCTTATGCCAATACATATGTGCCCAGGACAAGACTCTGCTATGTTATTTGTGGCAGAAGTCTTTTATTCATTTTTTTGAAAGTTTTTTTACTCTAATGACCCCTATGTGACGTTTGACCCCAAGCAGTGAACACCCCATGTATGAGAGGTGTCACCGATTATACTGACCAGGTTTGGTTGAAATCGGCACACAACTGTTTGGCACTAGTAGCGTTTTGAAATGTTGCCAGAAAAAAATACCCCAAAAAACTGTTGTTGATTTAACAAATTTCTAGGATTATAACACAATGACAGTTAGTACATTCAATCAGTTTATACATTTTTCTTGTTAATATAATTTTTTTATATTCCATATGCCTATTTATAATAGAAAATACTAATTGGTATCAAATCTACTCACAACTGTAGATTTGTAAACGTTTGTGAGTGAATTGGGAATCAATTTACAACTTTTCTGTGCAGGTCAATGACCTTTTGACCTCTAGCTACGTCAATTTCTGCCTGTTTCAAAATTGTTTCAATTTGAATGACTGACCAATCTGTAGGCTACAAATCCATTGACTAAATCAAGAGTTAAGAGCAATGTGTTACCCCTACCCCAAAAACTGTTGTTGATCACAATTTTCTCGGATCATAAACATTGACAATATTACATAATGCATTTTAATTTTTTTATTGTTAACCTCAATTTTTGTATTCCATATGTCAATAACTACAAGAAAAACACAATTTGTATCAAATACATCCAAAATTAGACATATGGAATTGAAGTTTATTGATATTTTATGAAAAAATTTGCATTTTAGAAAAAGGTCGATGACCATTTGACCTCTAGTGAAGTTAATAATTGTCAGATTAATTTTATTTAAACAGCATATGATTAAGAAACACATGCTACACATTGCTACCAAAGTAATATTGATGGGATTTTTAAATCACAGGTTATGGGCATAAATGTTACCCTCCCCCCAAAAAAAGTATTGACCATAAAACACTAACGACCATTACAAATGACGCGAGTACATACAATGCATCCCTATATTTTTCTTGTTAACATCAATTTTTTTGTTCTATATGCCCGTAGGAACAAAATAATACCAAGGAAGTTTAACTGTGGGGGGTGTGCACGGTGACCCCCTCCAGCCCATGGCCTATAGCCTTTTAAAAGAGAACTAGCAAAATGATTTTTTGTTTTAGAGGAGATTTTTGATATGCCATTAATAATAGAATCAACCTTAAAATCGTTATTTGGCAAGTGTTTATGAAGTTCTAGGTCATTATATATGATTTTACCGTGACGTCACTGGTGAAAAAAGTAACAAAAGATTGTGTATATAGCGCCGCGTAGGGTATCCACCGTGTACGATCTTTGCGTGCATGCTGTAACCATGTTTGTTGTAACTTGCATATCAAGTCATAGGCCTATCTGCATCAGCCGTTGTCAACAAATGAGTTACAGCCATGGTTACATCATGCACGCAAAGATCATAAGCGGCGGATACCCTACGCGGTTTTATTTGCACGATCTTTTGTTACATTTTTCGCCATTGACGTCACGATTAAATAGTATATAATGGACTATAACTTCATAAGAAATTGCCAAAAAACGATTTTAAGGTTGATTCTATTAATGGCATATCAAAATTCACCTCTAGAACAAAAAATCATTTTGCTAGTTCTCTTTTAAAATGTTGCCAGAAAGAAAGAAAGAAAGAAAGAAGAAACTGCTCGGAAACAGAACCCAGTCAGCATGCTGCTGACTGGGTAAAGAAGAAACTGCTCAGAACCCAGTCAGCATGCTGCTGACTGGGTAAAGAAGAAACTGCTCAGAAACAGAACCCAGTCAGCATGCTGCTGACTGGGTAAGAAACTGCTCAGAAACAGAACCCAGTCAGCATGCTGCTGACTGGGTAATAGGCATTTTTCGTTTTGACTACGCGGCCAGTCTACTTCGAACTAATAGAGCGTAACAGACATCTGCGCATGCTCACAAACCTTACTGGCTAAATCAGTGTTGTGATAGCTTCCGTGACAACCCCAATTTCTGAATTTGGCGTAGTGGCGACTACCCTAATATTGACCAATCAGATAACCGGATTCTTTGGCAAAGTGTTAGTCTACATGATAACAGTAAATGAAGGACAAACAGCACTTTTCAGACTAACAAATTAATTTAAATGCTTGTAACTTCATAAGGAATTGTCAGATTCAATTGATTCTTTTACCATTTCATAGCGCTCATTTACTCTTTAATCCAGTATTAATAACTAAAAATCATTTTTGCAATGGGTGACTTGTTTGGCTTGTCTTTGCCAATTGTGATAATGGGCAGCATTACCTCTGCAAATAACATGGATAAAAATAAGGTGATCGGTGTGGCGCAAAATTTGGGAGATATACTGTAACATTCAATAGATGTGATTTTTCTTATATAAGGCCTTTGCAATGAATGTAGTACCTAAAAATCTTACCGGTAAATCTATTTTTTTACATTTAATTTCATCCTGTTTTTTTTTATTTTTTTACTCCAATCAAGGATAGAATGTAAATCATTTGGAAGCACATAAGTATCATAATAACAGATTTAATTGTACTGTAAAGTAGGGTATTATTCGCATACATTTTAACACTAATGGATAATGAGGCTATGAGGTCAATTACAAACAAATTAAAGAGTATTGGCCCCAGAACCGAACCTGCGCCACTCCAGATAGCACAGGACACACAGGGGAAGAGGCTCCCCTAAACACAACCTTTTGAGTACAATTCAGCAAAAAGGATGAACCCATTGTAGTGTGGCGCCACATATACCATAGCCATGAAAAAACAAATTACTTGTGCCTTATTTGAATTATTTGTGTATTATTGCTTTAATTATATTATAGTGTAATATTGCTGAAATACTGTAATTGTCAGCACATTTTTGCCATTACCTTTATTATTTTCATGTTAAACCATCGCCATTCAAATATGGTAATATATCATTTTCTTAAAGGAATTTTGAGTTGGAGCTGAGAAAAGGTAATAGTATGACTGAAGCCATGTTAAGGGATTGGGGAACACAAGAAACAAAAGTTGGACAGCTCTTAGAAATTCTCATGGAAATTGGAAGGCAAGATGTCATACAAGAAGTTATGCCTGGTGAGATACTTTAAGGATTATTTTTTTTAAATTTTTGGCATATATAATCAAAGATCAATTCATTGTGGACATATTGTCTGGGCAAACATGTCACTTTAAAGCTAACTTTGTATGTTACAATATAAAAATGCGCATTACAAAATTTAAAAGCCACAATTGAATTTTATCATTCATTTAAACAGGTAATACAAAATATAACATAAAAATTTACAGGGTATTAGTTGATATTTATATCTACTGTATTGAAATCTATATTTTAAATGCAATGAACAAATCCAAGAATAACATTAACTTGAATTTTCAATAATAATATTTTCTATATAAAAGCTGGCTCAAGAATGTTAGAATCAAAATAAATACTAGAAAAATTATAAAATACAAATAACCGGTGGTTATGTGAATATGTATCCCTCATACAAAGAAGACATTATTCATCCCACTACAGGGGAATTTCATGGCTGAATATAACAAAATACATTAGACAATTAACTTATACCTGTAGTGATAGTAATAATACTAATAATAATAATTAGTAATATTAAAATACTAAATGAAAAATTAATATAGTAATCATGATAATGATGTACTGGCCACCTGCACTACATCTATTTCTTTTGTGAGAAATTTTCTAAATTTTAATAGACCAATAGAGGGATTCGGCAATGTTTGTTTACAACCAGTCACATGACCTACGGTGGGTGTACCATCAAAAATATTACAGTGCGATCAGTGTGAAGATATAGGAAAATGTAATGTTATGGTTTCAAAAACAACCACCTACTAAACGTTAACGTGACAAATAATTGGCAAAGAAATACAATACGATTGTTCAAAATAGTGTTTATTTACTTATTCTAGCATTCTCCTGGCATTGTATGCTTTGAAATTCCTTCGTAAACCTTAACCAGCCTAGAAATCGTAGCATAGATATAAAGGCCGTAGATAGGCAGGGGCCTAGTCCTAACACTTGTCAAAAAATCCCAAATTCTCTTGGACGACAAGTCACAAAAAACTTGTGTGTGTATTTCGGAACAGTCGAATTTGAGTAACTTAAATTACGTTCAAAAGAACAAATACAGCAATTATGATGATCTTTACAGCAATAACATGGGGCAGCCGCCATAGCTATCTCCGCTGTGCCAGTCCATTTATTACATCCAACACCCAACCTAGGTCATGTGACGCCCATCGCCGAATCCCTTTATTAACTTAAACTGACCTTTACCAGTTTTGAGCACAAACTTTATCTTCAGAGTGATAAGCAAAGTGGCGGTCGCTTAACAGTAGGTTGTATGCAGTGACTAAGGATGTGGGATTTTTTTGTGGCTGGGTCGTGATCATAATTTTTTGGACCTTTTCAGGGAGTCAAGAAAATCGATTACAGCGCCACCAGCTTGAAGCGAATGGCAGGCTCAGTTTCAGAATTGCTGGAATTGAGATAGATTGCGTCACGCAATTGGCAAGGTCTTTGGACTCATTACTGATACCTTATCAATGCTTTTTCATTCATGTCATTGTGAAAAGGCCCTAGAAAAAAATGTTCTTGGAAAAAATGTGGACCTTTGAAAATTTTGAGGATTTTGAGGGTGGTCGTACGACCTTCCCGACCCCCCGCCCTTCCATACACCCATGATGTAGATTAGCAATATAATATAATACAAATAATACTGTGTAATTTCAATATACTAATAATTTATTTTGTCATTGACATAATTAGATGTTTAATTTTATTATTTATTATTTATATTACTATCGTATTGTAATGTTGTTAGGTTGTAATTGTTGTTTGTAACCATTTTAACTACATTTTGATAGAGGGTCCCGAAAAACATCAGGCCCTTCGTGCGCAGTTTTAATGGTTACCTTCTCTAAATAAAATTGAAACAAAAAAATATTTAAAATATTGGTGCAGAAGTTGCCTGCAGGGCTCACATTCTAAAATAAACACTGTACTCCCCCTCTTTTCTTGGGGACCCAAGTTGTGATTTCCCACACTAGCCAGACCCATCTAATAATTGCACATCCAATGTTTTCCCCAAAATTTTGATGCTCTATGTTTTAAAAATGACTACTCGCCAGCGATTTTTGTTGTATTTTAATCTTCATTTTTGCAACTTTTAATAAATAAGACTTAGGCAACACTTAGTATGGCCCAAGCTGACTGATCCAAATTTTCAAAAATATAGGGTCTGCCATAGCAAAAATATTTTCGATCTTTAATTTAAATAAAATATTTGATAAAATTTAACCTTAATTTTTGCCCTTTGATCGACCAAAATAGATAGAGCGGCTTTTTAACTGTACAGTATTATTGTTTGTATTTGTAATTTATAGTTTTACCCATTTGAAATTTATTGGTATAACTGTTAGATCACCTGACAGAAACCGAAATTAATCTTAGATAAGATAGTATAATACATACTCCCAGTATCGAAATGCACGCCAGCTTGTCAGGATTCAATATTTAGACATAATTATGTCATCATCAGGAATTAAACACCTGACAGTGTTTTAAGTTTATTTCTATATGTGTTTGGAAAGTAAAACTTTTTGATTTAGGATTTGGATTTGAGTTTGGATATATTTGGTGTGACACAAACCAAGAATAAACCACACTCAAAAGTCCTAAGACTTATTTCCGGTGGGGTCCTTCTGGTGGGGATTTGTGTAGTACTCCAGGAGACAATCTCCTACTCTTTTCCTAAGAGTGTACTTCATTATTTAACATGTACATGGGCCATATTGCACATAGCACATAGCCCCAACGGCTTAAACATCTCTGAACTGAATGGAGCAGTCCACTTTCAGTGAATTAATTAACCAATGCATCCATTTAAAGACATGTTCATTTGTTCATTTGTTTTGGTATTAAATTTGAAACACACTTAAAAAAAGGTCCTTGTCATTTTATGAATGACAACCATAACTACCAAAAGTGACTAATAATATTTTTTTCTTCCTTTCCTTCTCCTTTCTTTTCATTTTTTTTTTCTGGTTCCTTTTTTTTCTTCCTCACCCCCTTTTTTTTCTTTCCCCTCTTCCACTTTTTTTTCTCTTTTTCTTTGAAACAATTCAAATGACAAAGAGAAATTTAGGCGTGTACTAAGTCATGAAGACTATCCCTAATATTTGAAAATGTAATCTAGTACAGTCAAATAAGAAGTGTTCTACAGTTTCTTTTGCGTTATCAGTACATAGTTTGCATGTGCCTGTGTTATGATTAGACCATGATTGTTTGCAGCCTTCAAGATCTAACATGTTGGATTTGGTTTGAATTTAAACTAATGCCTTTAAAGTTTGATTTGTCCAGCAAATACCTGTACTGTTCAAAATGTGGATTTCTTTTATACATTAAATATTCTGACAATGATGATTTACTTTGAGCTCTTATAAGCCATTCTTTATCATTGTTGTTTCTATTTTCTTTCTAAATTGCCTGATCCATTCAATTGCAGGATCCATATTAAACTTAGTAATTAAATCAACTTTAGTTAATGTTTCTCTTATATTGGATAACCATTGCAATTTTAAGTTTTTCTGAACGTAAAAAAATTGCTTTGAAAAATAAATGAGACCATCTGTTATCTTCCATGTTTTTTAGTCTATTAAAGTATTGGACCCTAAAATCATTTTTAATTGAGGTAACAGTTTGTCATCCCCAATTCACCGTATAATGCCTCTTTGGCAACATTCCTTGGGACTTGGTATATTTATACCAGTATTCCATTCATTGGGTATACTGTACATTGCAATTCTGTAAATCTTTTAAACATTTTACATAAAGTTACGGTCAACTCATTACCACCATTCTTTAACATTTCATTAGTTATTGTGTCTTAACATCAAAGTTAAGTTCATTAACAGTGTTACCGGAATTATTTTCGCATGATGGATTATGGACATAATTTGTGTTCAAATGACTGTCCGAGTTATCTTTAAGGTTTTGATTCATTTTTCATTGTGTTATAGTACATTTTTAGAGATGATTCGATTGTGCTCCTGTCAGATGTAACAGTTCCTGGAATTATTATCGAATTCACTTTTTTTGTTTGTTTTTTTTTCCATTCAACATATGCCAAAAATCACAGCATTGGGGGCCACACTTTTCCATTAATTTTAAACAATTTTCTACTCTTTTTTGCATGATTTTATGTTGTATTAGTGACTTTGATTCACTGCGTTTATTTTGATAGTCATTCCAAAGATCATTACACATATTTTCATTAAATAGAGGGTTGTCTTTAAGTTTAGAGTAATGACAATGTGCTCGACATGTATTTTTTCTAGATTTTAAAGATTCTTCTATTACTTTGTTGAACCATGGCTTAAAATTTTTATGTTTTGATTTATATCCAAAGCATTTCTGAGCTGCCAAAATGACCCTGGATTTTCACTGTTCCCAAGTTTCATTTGCACTTAAACCGGTTGGATCCCATTCACTAAAACTTAGTCCCCAGTAATGCTCGCGGGAAATATATTATAAATATGTGGGGTAATGTTTCATTTTTAAAGCAACATAAAAAAACATAGTTTTGTAATTTATGCAAATAAAATACATTTAGAACACTAAATTTGTAAAAAAAAATTTTTGGTATGAGAAATACGAGTTGTCCCTGCACAAATCCTGAGAGCTCACTTTTGTAATTTAAAAATATTGTCAATAGGGGTTGTTTCATAGGTTTTATAAGGTGGCCATACATAGATTTTATAAGGTGCCCATTTTTAAATCTAATATGGCTGCCATAATGACCTCCATAAAATGGTTTCTATCAAAAATGTTCTATGAGGGTGAACCCTCAATTACTGTTTTTAAGCTGTTAAATTTGTTGAAGACCTTTACTGTAAATGAGCACATGAATTGATGATCTGTTTATTTTGGTGACCCATACTGTTGCATCACAACCCATAGTCTGGGAAACTTGGCTGTACTCATAGTAATCAGTCATAGCATAGAGTATGGTTCATTTATGTGTGGTCATAGTAACTCTCTTCATAATTTTAACCCATAGATTAAAGAAATATTGTCCCCTGAAAATGACGAAACATTTTTAAAAATAAAATTTGAAATTTACTTGCTCATTTTTCAGTGACATATAAGTTATAAATTGAGCATAGAAATGAATTTAAGAAGTGTGTACCCTGATAATTATAAGAAATATAATTCAAACTAGATTTGAACTTGTCACTGAGGACGAGTTTGGTCATCCGCTGCACTTCGACCCTCAGGAAGCGCGAGTGGTGTGGATTGAAATGTTTTAAAATTCTCAAAATAGCCTAAAATATGCTCTAGTTAGTTAGAGTGTAATTTTAAGCATTTAAAAAGATGTATGCTTGCGTACATGGACGTCTTGATGCCTGTGCGCATGTTAATAGCACAAAAAAACTTTACTCCTGATATGAATACAGTGTCAGGAACCCAAAATATGTAACAAAACGTAATCTCCAGCTTCAGTACACGTGCTGTGCGCGTGGAAATTAGTGTATGGCGAGTAAATTATGGAAAGTTTTGTAATGCTGAACATGTCCTGAAACATGCTTTAATTTACCTGAAAAATGATATTGACAATTTCCAAATTTTACCGCACACTCATGCGCACATCACGAGGTGTGCGTGGACAGTAATGGCACACGAAATTAAACCTTTCCAAGTGTTTTTAAAACCGCCTGTTAGTTGGTAATGCCACACAAATTTTCCCTTGATATAACATATATATCGGTCTGATAGCGTCGAAATACAGTCTACCGCCCTCTGTTGTGTTTTTTACATCTATTAAGAAAGAGAGATAAAAGCGCTTCAAAAATTCATTCTTTTTGATTATGATGACGTTATCAAAATGAAAAATAAAGGTACACTTCCGAAAGAGAATTGTCTCAGCTATAACATACTCACAGGTGGGAGACGATCGAACAAGAATAAGCGAGATACGTTCAAATGAGTTTAAAAATAATGACAGTATAAATAAAAATTCAGTTTTTAACCCACTCTCTGAGAGAGAGGCTTATATGATGATTCTGAGCGAGTTTTGAAGTCATTTGTTTTTCTATCTCTTCCTTCGTTTGTGACGCGGTTATGTTGATCTTGCAATAATATGGAAGATAAGGCGTGGGGAATTTAAAGTATGAAGAGTTTTTGCGAAAATATTGTCGGGAAATATGTGAAAAGTATGTTTGTTTTTTTATCATATTTCTTAACACTACGGTGGGTTTCCTATGAAAGCGTGTTCGTCATTGATCAGATTGCAAATCGTCTGATTCCACATTGTGTTTATCAACCAATCACGGCCTGGAATGGTAAGCTTTGCGGCTAATGAATGCGTCTGCACGAGTCTAGTTGGCAGCGAAGAATGAGCCGTTTTGTGGTGCTTGCAAGTGTGGGTGGTCTCTCCCCTGAGAGATAAACAATGTACACTATTGTAATGCAGGCTCGCCTAGAGCTAGAGGAAGACGAACTAGGCCTATAGGCTGGCTGGGTAGTACGTGTGTGTAATAGATCAGATAACAGGAAATGTAAGCTACAAGTTGCTTTTATGTGTATTAAACCACATACTGTAATATTCAAATTAGTTAGTAGCGATGAGTGTATGTGTGTAGAACATTTCGTGTCAATGTACTGTAATGCAGGCTGGTTTGACGAAGACGAATAGGCTAGCTGGGTATGTACGTACGTGTGTGTAGGCATAGGCCCTAGTCTAGATCAGATACTACAGGAAAAAAATGTAGGCTACAAGTTGCTTTTATGTGTGTTAAACCACACATTCAAATCAGTCAGTAGTGATGAGTGTATGTACAGCACATTTCGATGATGACGACGTTGCCGTTAGGTACATGATGATAGCAAGGTCCCACATTGAATTTTTGTTCTATTGAGACGGTAGCTTTTCAGCATTGCTCTAGGATGATTTTCCTTTACATTTATGAATTTTTTAGCTTTTCGTACTCTACACTTAGCTATCCGTAGCCAACCACATAGGTCTAGGTACGTAATATATTAGATCAGATGTTAATTACATAAAATGTAGGCCGAAAGTCGTATTTAATGGGGGCGGAGTGGATTTCTTTTTTCGCGATTTACCATGGGATGGCAACTGTCATCGTTATCTAGATTTGTAGACGCCTATGGAGTGCGATATGGTAATGAAGATCGTTATTGACTGATGAGGCATGATTAAAAGTGGCTTTCGTTTTCAATGGATTACATTACATTCCATTCCATTCCAACGATGGTATAACCAGTTAATGGATAGCCCAGTAATGAGATATTTTGTTTAGATTTTCACAGCATGTTCCATGTACCTCCTCCATTTATTTAAAATTAAATTATTAAAACATTGCCTATAATTTAATCTAGTAGTGTACTAGTATATTATTTAATCTAGTAATGTATATATTTAAAAACATATTGGGCAACGGCAAGTATTCATACTACTTACAGGTATATATACACACACACACACACACATATATATATATATATATATATATACTGTCTCTTATACACATCTAGATGTGTATAAGAGACAGTATATATATATATATATATATATATATACATCAATATCTGACGTCGCCCAAGAAGTTATTTAGCCTTTCTCAAACAAAGCTGCATGTTTAACTAACAAAGAAAGACAAATGATATACGTAATTATAATGCGCCTTTGGAAAAATATATTTCTTCACAATAAAATACTTCTATGCAACAAATTCCATTCACTCACCAAACTGTCTACTTATATTATAAACCTCTACATAAATATCTTCATAATTACAATACAAATTATTTCAAAAAGTTACGTACACAACAAACCTTACAACAACCATATTTCCTTTATTATCACTGTACACGACATCACACCTTTCCTAACTGTAAAGTGAACATAACAAAAAACTCTAACTTAAATGTTTTTCTTTATGCTCAATACACATAACAACACTCCACACAACCTCCACCCACCGACAGCACTTAAACTATGCCAGCTATTGTCAAGTGGGCTATTGGATCGTTGATGCTCTCGTTTTAAATTCAGAAGGCAATATGGATGACATCACAATGTCCGATCAGCCATAATGATCTATAAAACCATATCTACAATTCATGTGCTTTCAGAATATGTAATAAAAATTGGGGGTCACCTTTCATCCTAAGGAGCTATAACTGATTAAAAATATTCATGCCCACTCAACATGATTGAGAAATGACAATTGGTTAGGATGATATGATCGATAATGTAAAAATGCAAAATTACGCGTAGATGACCCACGCATGACTGAACACGTTGAAAAGCTTACCGTGACTATTCCAGGCCAAGCCAAAATGTTCGATGAAGTGGCTGTGTGCGAAGCTCGTAGCAATTTTGAGATATTGTGCGAACAAGAAATGGGGAGAAAGAAAGAATAAAAAAAAAAAGATCCAGTACAATACAAGAGGTGATCCGCTCGAGAAGCGGGATCACCTAAAATTGTTTCTATGTTGATAATTTTTATGTTCAAAATGATAGAATTACTTCATATTTAACGTTCTTTCTCCATAGAGTTTCTAAACCAAAACAATCCAAACAGTGAGCTTGTTGACCATTATGAGGAATACCCTGTGGTTAAGAACATTGATGGAAATTCTGCCAGTAGCATTGAGGATAATATGACAGCTATGAAAATTGGTGATACCAAGAACACTCAGGGAACAACAGCAGTAGCTTGGTCATCAGATACAATACAAATCACGGAGGAAGCAAGTGCTGAAGGAGGTATTGTAATTGTTAATGCTGTTAAATTTATTTAGCATCTTTCACAATTAGTGTTGCCATGTACAGTAATATAAATGAACTATAAAGTACAGTAGACTGGAGATACAAAATGTGTGATGAGACACTATTTAATTGAACACAAACAATCACGTCCGCAAGTCGAGTGGTAAGGTAGGGGCATAACTACAGCCTTAACATTGGTGCTGGTTCCAGCCACTCCTCGCTCAGGGTTCAGTTGGTAAAACCAAGTCTTCTTGGGTAAGGACTTAAAATGGAGGTCCTGTGTACACTTCTGGCTCGTGTGCACTTTTTAAGAAACCATGGCATGCACCTTTTGGAAGAGTAGGGGATTACCCTGATGCTATGGTTTATTTCAGCCCCTGTCACTGAATGATGTGAACATGTAGGTAGTATAAGCACCTCTTTGCAGCTGCTATGTAGTCACAGACCGCGCCCTTTCGCAATTAAGCACAATGATGCTATGAGTTATGGGTTATTCTCCTACATTTACATTTTATCCACATAGCAACAAACTTAACTGAAAAAATCAGTAACAGTCTTACGAGAGAGATAAATTCTCAAGTATTAATGCAAGAGATACAGTACTAAAACCAAAAAAATAAACTACAAAAATTAGAAAAATGGAACTTGAGGCATACTGTATGTTGAACTTGAATAATACTGCAAGAGTGCAGTAAAATAGGTAAGGATGCATGCAAGGACATGTAGCAGCATTGCTTGCCATGTGTTTCTTCATGTTATATACATAACCTCTTTGTAATCTCCATTTAGGATTGGATAAATTCCCCCTACTCAAATTATGACGTACTAGGTTGTTTGTAGTGCACATGAGCCATTGTGTACACCAGTGGCATACATTTTATGATCCTTATCAGAGAAGACTTTTACCACTAGGAACATAGACAAACCTGCCTCTTGGACCAATGCTGGTATTGCTAAACTAATTTGGTACAATTATAATTGAAATTTTTTCCATAGAATTGATACAGATGATATTAAATAGTAATGACATTGATAATGCTTATGATGTTTAAAATTATATGTTAATTAAAGGGAATTAAAAAGAATAATCAGTATTGATCATATTTGTTTTATCTCAACCAATAACTTTCTAAGCTGTCTCTACCTATCACTGAAAAAAAATTAGAAGATGTCATCATTAATACCATAATGAACGATAGTAAAGTTAACCAAAAGGACCAAACAGGACATAAACTACATGCAAAGGACATCAACAGAATTGAGATAGGATGATAATAATATAATATGTATGTTTTTTTCAGTGAAAGAACTAACTTTCTTTGCATTGAGAGCGATAGCAAAGAACTTTGACCCAAAATCTAAATTAGGGGAAGGTGGCTTTGGAACTGTATATTTAGGAAGTAGTCCCAAGTATGGAGACATTGCAATTAAAGTATTGAAAGAAGTAAGTACTTTATTAGTTTATGTATTATTATTATTATTATTATTATTATTATTTTATATACATGTGGGTGTGGGTGTATATGCATACAGTTATGCTGCATTGAAGTGATGGGTGCACGTATATCCTGGTGTGCATATTGGCGAAACATCAAGGTAAGCAAGGTATCCAGTGCTAATAAAAACAAACAAACTAATAAAAACAATAATAACTAGGAGATACTGTGTTCAATAGAACATGGTCCAGTCATTAGTTCCTATGCATGTAATGCAATAGGAACTATTGTAATCACTCTCACTGTTTTTTCCTTTGTTTTTATTGTGTGTAGTATGTGTGTGCGTATGTGTGTAGACATTTTATGCAAATGCGCATGCGTCAAAGAAAAGTTTTCCGACATTTTGTTTTACCTCGCGATGCGAAGATCGATGTGAAGTTTCTGCAGAGTTCAGTCAGGGCTCACGCTGACTGATCGGCAAGTCGGCATGGATGAAACTATTTTGATTTTACGGCAAAAAAAAATCAACTGCTGTAGCATAGGTATTTTGAAGAATGCCTAAAATAAAACAAAAAAGTTTTAATATTTGCTGAAATACATCGTTTTTTTCATTTAGATCTCACCAACTCCATGCGACGTTTTTTTCTGTTGTATGAGTAGTCATACTGTATGAAGGTACTATATCTCCGACAGTTGGCTATGCAGCAATGTACCCTTTAAATGCAAATTGAAGACAAGTGAAGATACAAAGGCAGCCGACTGTCGGGTACATAACTCTGCATTGCTCCGCCATCTTGTCAGCACTCTAGTTCACAAAAACATTAGGCCTAGTTCAGTACAGTAGTTACTGCGATACGAGAGTGGTAGATCGTTCAGTCAGTGATATTGTGTTATCGTCTAATACATTTTAATAATGTGTGTAAAATTTAAGAATGCGTGGGTCGCTTTCCCTTTGTTATGCGGTAGTTGTATACGTAGCAGAGTGAGCAATCTAAGCCTAGCCTAGGGCCTAGATAGTATACGTTCTTGATCATTGTAATGAAAACTTCGGGTGACAGACGATTGGGCCCAACTGGTGTGGACGATCGGACCCAAGATAGCTTCAAATAAATTGTAGTCCTAGTAGGCCACTGCTACCACCCCCACTCCTGATATCGTTCTAAACTACTGTAAAATGAAATTACTGTATACCTGCCTAGGCCCAATGCCTACGAAATTTTTTCAAAGAAATTTGCTAAAAATATTACTGTAATTTGCCTGTCGAATTATATTTACCAGTACCAGTGTGGTCTAAAATCACTATTTTGGGCCATAAAGACTCC